ATTGTGAATCTAGGAGAAGTTCATTGGAGATGAGTTCAGTTCGAAAGTCATCAAATGATAGTGGATTATCTCGGGTGGCTAGTGACATGGAGGTCATGAAGGGAAGAAATATGGGGTTTAGGCCATGAGTGACATAGGTGATCAAGTCATCGTCATCAACCGTTTTTCCCGCAGCACTAAGTTCAGCTGCAATTTCCCTAGCTTCATCGAGGTAAATAGAGCAGCTACGGGAGCCTTGAGTGAGGGATTGAAGCTTGCGTTTGAGATGGCTAATGCGAGATCGAGAGTTGGAAGCAAAATTCTTTTCCAACGCAGTCCAAGCATGACTAGCAGAGGTGAGTCCGAATACAGTAGGAGCCACAGTGTTGGACAATGTAGCATTGATCCAATCGAGCACAAATTGATCCTTTTTGTGCCATATGATAAACTGTGGGTCGATATCAGTGGTTAATTTTCCTTGATCATCAGGAAGGAATTTTGATGGACACGACTCGGAACCATCCACGAAGCCCATCAAATCATTGCTTTTGAGTATATGAACCATTTGAGAAAGCCAGATGAGATAATTGGATCCATCAAGTTTAGTGGATACCAATTGATTCAAGTTCGGGGCAACAAATACTATAGAGGAATTGGATGTGGTGGCCATGGAAGGAAGTCGAAAAGGATCGAAAGCTATACGTGAGCAAAAAGCTCTGATACCATGAAAATACTCAGTAGACTGAGGAAAAAATAGGCTATCTTACTTGCCCGTAGTGAAGTATATTGATAGTTTAAATAGATTTACAGAGATTGAGTTGGGTTACAATTTTGATTCTGATTTGGATTACAAATACACATTCCTATCTATTGTAGGAAGTTGGTGCAAAGTTAACTTCTTGCTGGAGCTATATCTTGTATCTTGTTTGGTGTATCCCTATCTTTTGATGTAGAGTTCGTTTCTTGCTGGGATTCTGTACTGATCTGTCCAACATACATACAATGAACATTCTGGCACAGTCGTATCTCCAACATTCTGTAGTGCTTCTAGAAGTTTTCTACACCGTTCTGTACATCAAACATTCTAGACTAGAAGCTCTACCACATTCTAGACTATTCATTCAAGGAGGACATATCTTTTGTTCCATTTTTGTTATTCTCTCAGCTGAGGTGCGCGTGATTTGGTTTAGTAACCGAACCTTGAACCAATCTGAACCGAAAGATTTCGGTTTGGTCCTATTCGTTTTGATTCCATGACAAAAAAATTTCAAACTATTAAGCACACACTTATATCACAAAAGTTGATACTCGCATCAAAATAAATAAAATAAGCCTAATACAACGTAATTGAGAAGTTCCTTCCTCATACAAACATATTGTTTGATAAATAAATTTCATCAAATTAATCATGTTTCCGATCAAGCGTTAAAGTTTTACCTAACCCTTTGTTCAAGTATCATTCCTTCGTTCTAGCAAGCATCGTCGATCGAGGCATGCACATATAGTCCATGAGACATGAATGTAATTGGACACTTTTCTACTATAGATGTCATGTTCAAAGGAACTGAATAACATCTTCAAATGTTTGGTAGGAATTAAAATTTAGATTTTAGTATAAGTCAACAATTAATTTTTACCATATATTTCATGGAATTCATAACTTTTCAATCATACATTTCATCAATATTTATTAAAATCTATCAAAAATCTGATTTTAATCACCCCGTGAAAAATGAATATGTAATAGTGATTTTTTTTTTTTAGAATATTTTATTAAAAATAGGAAAAAAAAATTGATTTATGTGTAAAATTATTTTATTAAAAGAAAGTATAATTGAAAATGATTTTAAGGGAAAATAAATTTTTAAATTACGAAGCGGATATGTATAATGCAAAAAACGTATTGTTGCGAACCTTGTGGCTGTGACGAGAAAATTCTAGTATCATCTTTATCCACACTTTTCCAGCTCCTTCTAACTTCTGATTGAACCATATATATAATGAATAGACATAGCGTATATCTACATTTCCTATCGCGATCAAGCATCAATCCATAAGAAATCCCAATCGAAAGAAATTAACCGGTTGAATCAACAAAATGAAGCCAGTAATTGATGAAAAGAAAGGGAAGGTGACAATCCGGGCCGAGTGCCGAGCAGATGAAGGCAGAAAGCACGTCGAGAAAATGGAGATACCAACTCACAGTGTGGACACAGTAAAATACGTTGAAAGAAAACTTATTGACAAGGGCGTGCAAAGGCAAGAGCGCCACCCGGCGGATGGGCTGCCACTGAAGCATGATCCCAAGAAAGGGCACGGTGGGAAGTACACGTGGGAAGGACCGGAGAAGGAGGCTGAGCTGGAGGTAGCGCCACCTGCTATAGATGAGAAGGATCCGAACTACGTGGAAGAAGAAGAAGGGGCAGAGGGAGAGGACGAGGAAGTGAAGAATCTGGTGGTTGGTGAAGTTGAGGTGGCTAAGGTGGCGAAGGAAGGAGTTGCGAGGATTGAGGTCGAGCCTCACTCGAAGGTTAACTGAAAGACTTGTGTATTTTGTAACTTCTAATTGTTTGAGTTTTCAGGTTTAAAATGATTGTAGTAGTGTTCAAGTACTTGTAATCATTTTGAATAATACTCATTTTCAAACTAATCCTGATTATTTTGACATTACCTGTTCAATTGGAAACTTCCAGGCATAGCTTCAAATGGTGTTCATTCTTCTAATTCTTTTGCAGTTGATTATGAAATAAATTTCGAAGTATAAAGCAAACTTCAATCGGGTTGTTAGTTGTGGTCAATGTCGGATTCATTGCTTCTAGTAAGAATAATTTGTTAATTCATGTTACTGAACAATATCTATTCCGTTCCTCTTTGTCTATGTTGTGTTCGATTCATGTGAAAAGGAAGGAGAGATGGGATGGTTAGAGCAAGTGGTTTCGTGAGTAGAAATACAGAGTTAATTGTTTCAACGTTGACTGAACTTGTGTCTATGAAATTTAAGATGAGTTTTGGTTATTAAACTTTGAAAAACTTTGGATGTTACTCATTGGCTAACTTTCGTTTCAAATATCTGTTGGAATTGGTGACGTGATCTACTGAATGTACATACGGTGTTTTGTCACGTTGTTAGACTTTGAGGTAGTTGAATTTTGGTTGTTCAATTTTGGAAAACGTCTTCAATTGTTAACTAAACTTTGAAAAATGTCTTCTAATACTTACTGAAATTTGGGGTGGTTGAATTTTGACTACTGGACTTTGAGATAGTTGAATTTTGGTCATTTGATAGTCCAGTTTTGCCACAAAACTTTGAAAAATGACATATATGACTCATAATAAATTTGGGTTTAATTTTATTTAACAACAAATTTATTGTGTGTTTCGTTGTAAAATTCAAATACTATGATGAAAATAACTTAAAATTTCACAAAAATAAATTAAAATTAAATTTAACTACTATATAATTGAGTAATCATTCCTCGTGAAATAGACAATGCTTTCGAAGTTGTGCAAATGAAGTGACTACTAATTGCAATGAAGCGCACAATATATTTATTGTTAAAATTAAATTAAATTCGAATTTTAGCCCCTATTTGATGACTATTATTTTAAAAAAAATTAAATTAAAATATTTTATTGTATAAATATATGATTAAAAATGAATATGATAATTAAAAAAATTGTTTTAAAAGGAGATAAACAGAGGATTAATTAAATACAAATATATAGTGAGTAATAGAAGACGTTTTTCAAAGTTCAGTAGCCAAAGTTTGACTATATCAAAGTTCAGTGGCCAAAATTCGACCACCTCAATGTTCAATGAGCAGTAGAAGACAATTTTCAAAGTTAAGTGGCTAAAATTCGACCATATCAAAGTTTAACGGTGTGACGGAGCGCCACATGTGAATTTCGTTAGCCACGTCACCAATAATGTTAGAGATTTGAGATGAAAGTTATGTCGTGAGTAACGTACAATGTTTTTCAAAGTTTAGTAGTCAAAACTCGACATTTTAAATATCAGCTACCAATCGAAAATATAGACATAAGTTCAGTGGCTATTGAAACAATTAACTCGTAGAAATACAGTTTATTCCGCCCTTTACTAGAAAGTAAAGGGATTTGGAAGCTAAAAAGAGGTTTTGACGAATTATTCAAGCTTGCCACTTCTATAATTAGTATTTGTAATTAAACATTTTCAGGTTGGGGATGTAGCTCAGATGGTAGAGCGCTCGCTTAGCATGCGAGAGGTACGGGGATCGATACCCCGCATCTCCATATGCTGTATGTTTTATTTTTCCAGTTAATGTCTCCTTGGGCCCAGCATTATGGACCATTATGAAACACTTGTTATGCAGTATAAGCAACTATAAATGGATTAAATACTAATAAACTTAACGGAAAGTCCAAATTAATAGTCTAAGTAAAGCCCATAATTCTATAATAGCTATCCAGTATAAAGGCCAACTATCAGTTTGGGCTTAAGAGACACGATCTACATGGAAAGCCTAGATGTACAGTCCAACATATATTTCTATCGAGTCAAGTTTGATCGCTGGTCGTATCTATTTTTCATTTTTCACAAGAAAAGAATAACTTCTAATGAGGTCTTATTTAAATTATCGTCTTACGTGCTCCTCGTAAACTATTTTAAATATTATATTATAGACAAACCTAAATGATGTTTTTGGTAAGTCGAAATATGTTGTGCGGAAGTTTCGAGAAATTTTTGAATCCGAGCTCAGAAAAATCACCAAACGAACACCACTCCGAATTGTGGGCATGCTCAGCCCACAATTTGTACTCTTTCATTGCCTCTCTCATCCACTACGATTTCCCTTTTCTAACTCACAAAGGATGCTAAAGGTGGTGGTGACTACAATAAAGAAGAAATGATGAAACAACAATGGTTGAATCCCTCAAGAAATCACCCCAAAACCGGTTGCCCCCTTCACTCCTCTCTCCATTGCGCACACACGGCTGGAATGGCGGAGGACAAATGAATATAAAGCCAAACCATGTTAGGTCACCAATCTGGGCTATATTACTTAAGTTTTTGGGCCAAATACTGTCCACATAAATGGGCTACCACCTAACCAACAAAAGTGTATTGGTTATTTCTGGGTCAAATCAAGCACTATGATGTCGATAAATTATCTGATATCTGTTTTAAATCATCGTCCGATTTATTGGGTATAAAAAATCCAACAAAATATTTGACTGAAATCTATTTTTTCTGAATATTAAAGGTTTGGACTTGGAAACTGAGTTTTACTCAATATTCAAGCTCAAGCAACAAAAATATCTCAATCTTGTAAATCAACCCTACTCACATGTTACTTGAATTTCCTAAATTAACACGTAGAGCAACCCAAAACCAGCATAATAAAAACTCCAGAAAAATGTTGACTACTAAAGAACTCGATTCATTGCAAAAAAATAATTTTTGAACAAAGTAATGACAATATCATACATTAAAAAATCATCTGCTACATTGAATATGCTAAATAGAGTTTAAATCACAGAAAAAACAAAATTGTAGGTCCCCTAAGACGGCCAGGATCATAAGAAAGTGGAAATATGAAAACAACTGAGTAATTTATAAATCGTTGAAATCAAAAGGTGGCTAATAAATGGCAACAAGGACGTTATCGATTAACGATGGATCTGTATAAGTTTATGTCAATAGAGCTGGAGATGGCGTGACAATGAGGATCGACTTTTTGTTGGTGATGTGGGTTGAGGTTGGTCAAGATGGCCATTTATTCTTTTTTATTTATTTTCAATTTTTTTCTTTTTGTGTTTTTCGTATTTCATTTCTATTTAATTAAATTGAAAAAGTAATATTGTCTTCAAAGGACATTTTGGATGGAATATGTGAACATGAACATTTTGTGCTAAATTTTCAAAAGGTTGAGATGAGTTAAGTCAAAAAAGGATAGGGACATGAGGTGCTAGTTTTCTCAATGTTAAAGATGAATATTGAAATTTAACCTAAACAGCACTCAACAAGATAAAGAAAAATAATTACATTAAATATTAGTCAACTGTTTATATTGTTCAAAATACCCAACATGCACTCGTACAAATTAAAAGCTCAAAAATTGTAAAATACTTATAATTTTTTTTCCCCATAATTACGTTGTTGAAAGGCAAACAAATTGTCTCTAAAAATGAGTTGGAGATGCCGCTCCTTTCTTCCACCGACAGACCGTATTATTGTATATCAAGAAAATATTTGTGTCACTGATTGACTAAATCGAGAAATAGTGGATTACAGCACGGGGCTTTTGAGATTGGATTGGATTTTGATGGTGCCTGCAGCCTGCATACTTGTATGATTTTTAAATTTTTTTTTTACAAGTATCAAGTTAGATATTAGTTACTTTAATATTATCAATAATCTTACATTCTTGATCCTATCATTCCAAGAGAGCCAACCAGACACACTTAACCCACTTGTCACATAGCTTTTTCAACATTTATTGGATTCACAATTTATTCACTTTTTAATGAGACCCATCAACTTATAATCTAAATATATATATATATATATATATATGAAATAGGGGTTTAGTAACTTCATCGTATTTGTTGGCATTCCTACTAAACTTATGGGGTTCAATTAATTCGGTATTTTTTTTACGTTTATCATATGTTAGTTCATATTTCTCAATAACGGAATTAAAAATTATTATTCTCTTTATCAACTTATGACGATTAAAATGACATAGAAAATGTTTATTCAACTAAATATTAATATTTTCTTTGGGTTTGATATTGATAGGCTCGTAGTGTACTCGTCGATTAAAAAATAAATTAGAAGGGTTCTAACTTCTTGACGAAGAATATGATGTGGATTTTCACACAAGTTTACGAATGTTCAAGTGCACATTTTTATTCAAATTCGACTCAAAACCTGTTAGTGGTGAGCTATATCTGTTTGGTATTAATTAAAATCAAATTTATTAAAAATCTAATTTTAATCCCGCGGTTATAAGAATATTGAGAGTTGCGCAAAGGATTATGAAACTGCTAAAACATGATTTCTGGAACACAATAATGAAAAGGAGGAAATGATTAATTTCTTTAACAAATACAAAAGGAATTCTAGCATAAGTGGATTATTTCCTGTAAAGATAATTAAACTTTTGCTTAATAAATCATAAACCAATCATGGATGTTCGAAAATATAGTTTAAGATCAAGTCTGTAAATAAAAAAATTATTTAAAATTGTGGTGTATAATAAATAAAAGGTTAATCCTCCTCTACAAGGAAAGCAGCAAAAGTTCAACGTGAATGGTTAAGGTACTACAAAATATATGAATGAAAAAGTAAAAAAAATTCTCACTTTACTTGTATTCGATTCTATTCAATACAGTGTAGGATGACACTTACGTAAATGGTCACTCTTATTATTTTCCCACATCTTTCCTTTTTGGGTTTTTCCGTTTGTACAGAAAATGGATGACAACGAGTTTAACAACCTCTCACATGCGTGCAGATCCACGTGAATAAAAAATTCCAAAAAAATGTGGGCCCGC